GGGGAGGGGAGGAGAGGAGAGGAGAGAGAAGTTTTTAATTTTTATTTTTCAGTTTTCGGTGGACACAACATCTTAATTTTTGTGGTGCTGAGGATTGAACCCAGCACCCCATGCATGCCAGGCGAGCACGTTACTGCTTAAGCCACATCCCCAGCCCTGAATCTTTTTTTTTTTTTAATATTTTTTAGTTGTACATAATACCTTTATTTTGTTTGTTTGTTTTTATGGGGTGCTGAGGACTGAACCCAGGCCCTCGCACGTGCTAGGCAAGCGCTCTCCTGAGCCACAACCCCAGCCCTGAATAGCTGAATCTTATGTTAAGCAAAGTGAACACATAATAACGAGAGGAAAATCTTAATTTTGCAAACTCTTTCACCATAAGGGCTCCCCTGAAACATCTGTTCACTGTGGCTTGTAATGTGTAAGGTCCTCTGTTAGGAATTAGAGAGATCCAAATATTGACACAGTAATCCCCTCACCCCACAAACAAACAAACAAAAAAGCTACATACACAGATTACTGTATATTTTGGTTTCCATGTGAAATGCCCCCCAAAAGCTCATGTGCTGAAGCCAGGCAAGGTGGCTCATGCCTGTAATCCCAGGGGCTCTGGAAGCTGAGGCAGGAGGATCACAAGTTCAAAGCCAGCCTCAGCAAAAGTGAGGTGCTAAGCAACTCAGTGAGACCCTGTCTCTAAATAAAATACAAAATAGGGCTGGGGATGTGGCTCGGTGGTCAAGTGCCCCCGAGTTCAATCCCCAGTGTCCCCCCTCCCCCCCCAAAAAAACAAACTCATGTGTTGAAGGCTTGGTCCCTAATGCTGCAGTGTTCATAGTTGGGATCTTTGGGAAGTGATTGGCTCTAACCTCATGAATGGATTAATCTACTGATGGGTTCACAGCTTAATGGGCTATTGTGAGGTGGGGAAACTTTAGAAAGGAAGGCCTAGTTGGAGTGAGTATGTCACTGGGGGCATGTCCTTGAAAGGAATATTTTGTCTAGAGCCCCTTCCCCTTCCTCCGTCTCCTCTCTCCCTCTTTGTCTGTTTCCTGGCTGCCTTAACGTGAACAGCTTTGCTCTGCTATGCCCTCTCTGCCTTAATGTTCTCCTTGACAAGGTCCCATGGCAACAGGGTGAAGCAACCACAGCCTGAAACCTCTCAAACTTTTGAGTGAAAATAAACCTTTCCTCCTTTTGTTTTTCTCAGGTACTTTGTCAAGACAATGAAAAACTGACTAACACACTGTAACACAATAAATAATACAAGAAATACTTTAGAGAAGGCCTACAAAAGGGAGCTTGGGAATCTGCAGGCAAATGAGACTGGAAGGATATTGTGGACAAGGTGGCATGAGCTAGGATTTGGTGAATGGGTTGGATGCTGCCAGTAGAAATAGGTGAAATTGGGGCTGGGGCTGGAGCTCAGCAGTAGAGTGCGGGCCTAGCATGTGCAAGGCGCTGGGTTCGATCCTCAGCACCACATAAAATAAATAAATAAAATAAAGGTGTATTTAAAAATCACATCAATCTTCAAAAAAAAAGTGTTAAAAATTTTTTTTAAAAAAATAGGTGAAATTACCTCCTGATGGAAGAGACACCACCAGGAAAGGACTGTAAGAGGATATACCAAATATTAGGCAAATCGATGTGCAAACCCAGAAGAGAGCTGAAACAGTAGATTTGACAGGGACACAGGCAATGGCATGAGGAAAAGGCTCTAAACCCAAATGCTGCAGCAGCAGGTTTATTCTGAGTGGGAAGTTTATCAGGATGAACCTTGGGAGTTCAAATGCCAGCTCCATCCTTAATGTCTGTGTGATCTTGGACAAGTCCCTATCCAAAGTTTCAATTCTTGCTTCTGCAAGGTTCCTACTTTCTACCCAACAACAAATGAAAGAGTTATTGGGCCATCTAGGAAAGAAGAGGCCAATAAAAAGAGATTATGAAGAGAAGAGATGGCCAGGGAGAGGAAGTTTGGAGAATAGAGCCCAATGCTGTTAAGCTGAGCTTTCTGCTCCACAGCAGGCCATTTTAGGGGTGCTGGCAAAACTCTCATCAAATTGGTTGTTGGTTCATCCCTGAAGAACGCTGTGTTCCAGCAGCAGCACCAGCAATGCAATTAGCAGAACAGAGCTTGTGGGTGGAACAGTGAGTAGGAGTTGAGCAGGGAAAAGAGGCAGCACCCTGGGCCCCTGCCCAGATTGTGGGGTATAAGAATCAGGGGGTGGGTAAAGATGACTTGAGAGAAAGTTTTAATTCCAAAAGCTATCCTCCACTAGGAAAGAAAAGCAGAAGACCAAGATATGTTTTCAGTCTTCCATACTGGCTCCTTTAACCTCAAGAAGTTGGCCTATTATATAAATCAGCAGGTGAGACCCCAGCAGGCATATAACTCAGCTCAGCAGATGGCCTTCATTCCCTGTGGCTGAGCTTCCACAAGTCCCAGGAGAATGAGCACAAGGAAGCCTCTTCAGGGAGCCTTGAATGTTTGTTCTTTATTCACTTTCTTTTCATTCCACATAGTAATGATTGTATATAATTCAGGATTCTGGAGACACTGATGTCAACTTGGTTATTCAAACCTTCATCCCTCAAGTTGTTTCACTGGTCAGTTTATCTGTCAAATGGAGAAAACTGAATTTATGCGAACATGTAATGAGATCATAGACACGCTTGGCAGAGAGCAAATGCTCAAGAAATGTAAACTATACCTAGTTTAAATATTAATGTAAACTTTATATTAGAAGCCAGATTGCATGTTATGCTGGATAGCTTTCATTTGTCCTTCTAGGTACATTCTTCATTCTTTTCCATCATGTTATGCTTTAGAACTGCCCTGTTTGGACTACTCAAGACTCCCTTGCCCTGATTTCCAATTCTGTTTGGTCCAGGGGAAGCTTTGACAGACCAGAGGGAAGAAGTGAGGGCAGTTTTTATTCCAACTCCTTTCCTGAATTTCTTGACCCAAAGTCCCAGCTCTAGTAAGATGATCCTCCACATAGCTTCTGTGCCTCCAGAAGTACAGGTGGAAAGATTCCATTATCCCTATCTGTTTCCCTACATCCTACCTCAAATTAACCAATTTAAATGTGCCATCTGTTTTCTGTGGCACCCAAAATATACAAGGGTTAGAATGAGAACTGCCTGGGAATAGGGAGACCTAAACTTAAGTCTCATCTCTGCCACTAGCTTGCTCTATGACCTCAAAGAGTCTTTCCTTTTTTAGGCCTCAGTGTCCTGACCTGTAAAATAAAGAGTAAGACTGTATAGCTCTTTTGTGCTACAATTCCCCACCCCTACTAAATGTTCTATGAAGTTAAACCCAGGAAAGAACCTAGAAGCCAGCAAGGCTAATGTCCTCTTGAAGAGAACATTATACCTATCTCCTTTACCTATTTCCTTTTCAAGGTGTTTTTTTTATTATTATTATTATTGCTTATGTCTAAATCATGTCCCACTCCAAAGTAACTCTCAAGAAAGCCCGTTAAGTTAAAAGTCAATTATCTTTCCGTTCAGGAACTATTTAACCACAGAGCCCCTTTTATAGGTTCTAACATACCCAGAGGTTGCAGCAGGGAAGCAGTTATACACTGATACCAGAACATTCTCCACAAGCTGCACAGGGAAGCAAGGTTTGTCTAGGCACTGGGAAATGCAGAGAAACAGCTGGCTTTTAGAATGGAGTGCGCTCCATTCTAATAATGGAGATTATATAGAAGGTGGAGGGAACGCCTAGGGGCGCACTACCACTGAGCTATACCCTAAGACCTTTTTATTTCGAATTTTGAGATTAGGGTCTATGTTGCCCAGGCTGGTTTAGAACTTGCAATACTCCTGCTTCAGTCCGAGTAGCTGGTATCACAGGTGGGGCCACCGGCCTGGCGAGGCTAATGACCTCTTGATGAGACTATTACAGACTCCCGTAAGTCCTTCCCAGCTCCTAATATCCATGATTCAGGAAACCCTAAGGGCCGAAAGGAAGCCATTCCAATGAGTACTGGCCCCGAGGAGCGGCACGGGGGCGGGACGAGAGGGCAGCGGGGATCTCTTAAAATCCTCATTTTACCTGGGGGATGGCCTCAAGGGCCAAAGTCACTCTAATAAATGCAGCACCAACTGCTCTGGTGTTCTTTGCACACATGTGACTCGCCAGTCCGAGGCCTCTGCGGGCCACAACCGAGCCTTCGAGATCCTCTTGGGACTCCCAGGTCGTCTGCCCCACAGCCCACAAAGCAGCCCCGTCTGACGCGGCAGCCCCGCCGTCCCCAGAGCGACCCCGCAGCGTGGAATAGCGGCGGAAGGAACCTGGCCCTTCCCAACTGACCCCCAGCAGCGCCGCCGCC